TAGACTATTTTTTTTCCAGCGTATTTTATGTGACATGTACATTTTTTGTATAAAAGAAATAGAAATAAAAATTAATTTCTTTCTATAATAAGGTTTTTCTATGGCAAGCGCTTAATGCAGCAAGGGAATCAGTGCTTCATCTTAATCTTTTTTTTTGAAAACAATCATATATTTCTGAAAAAGTTTACAATTCAATTTTACATAAATACTCTAAACAGTGCATATAGCTCTGGCCTCGAGAATTGTAGAATATTCAACAAATCAGTTTAGCTCCTGTCATTCAAAATATATAATAAAAATATATTATCAGTTCTATTTCCAATATTGCTTACATCTATTTTGCAGAAAGGAAACATTCAAGTTTATTCACAAATGTCCTAAGTGATCGTATATTCTTTAAATTATCAGGTAATCCATTATATGCCCTAGATGCGCAATCAATTGGGCTATTCATTCCTATATTAGATATTAGTTCTACTATATAATATATATAAATTAAATTCAGTTCTGGTGTAATAGTTGTGAATTTCGTTGGAAAATATTATACTGGAATTACATTTTAATTGTTTGTTTAAGATTTTATGCATTACTTTACATTGTTCAAGAAGCAACAGTCTCTCTAAGTTAAACACGCCTAGTTCACTATACAAGGTATCTGTATGAGTAGCTATATTATATATTAAACATTTATTTTAAGCACCTTATTTTGCGTAACTTGAACTTCACTAAATTTTGTTTTACAACATGTACCCCATATAGGCAAAAGATATCTCACATGTGATACGAAAAAGGCATTATAGACATTCATTTTGGTTCTATGTGTTAAATAGCTTCTACTTTTATATATACATGGTATGAGGGAGTGAATTTTTTGTGTGATTTTATTTATATGCATTTGCCAACTAAGCGATCCATCTATTACTAAACCAAGGTATTTTACACATGAGGCCCTTTCTAAATTAACATTATTTATTTTAATGTTCATATTACCTACATGTTTGTTTTTCTCCAAACGTCAAAAAAACGTCACTTTGTTAACTCCTGTCAAGATGTCAGAAATTTGATTTCTATGCTGCTAGGCAAATCCAGCGGGTTAACACCTGTCGAGGTGGTAGAAATTTAATTTCTATGCTGCTAGGCAACCGCAGCGGCAGTAGAAGTACTTTTAGTGCCGCTGGAGCGGCAGCAAAAGTACTTTTAGTGCCGCTCGTACTTTTACTGCCGCTTAACCACCAACTTGTCCCCGACCTTACCCCATTCGTTTGGAGGAAAAATAGCGTGTTGCATACGGAGTAGAAGCACTTTTTTGTGCTTCAGCCTACCTACTGCTTCAGCACAAAAAAGTAAAGCTTCTACTCCTAATATAACAATATACTATTTTCTCCAAACGTCAGAAAAACGTCACTTTGTTAACCCCTGTCAAGATGTCAGAAATTTGATTTCTATGCTGCTAGGCAAATCCAGCGGGTTAACACCTGTCGAGGTGGTAGAAACTTAATTTCTATGCTGCTTGGCAACCCCAGCGGCAGCAAAAGTACTTTTAGTGCCGCTGGAGCGGCAGTAGAAGTACTTTTAGTGCCGCTCGTACTTTTGCTGCCGCTCAACCATTCACTTGCCCCCGAGCTTACCCCATTCGTTTGGGAAAAAATAGCGTGTTGCATACGGAGTAGAAGCACTTTTTTGTGCTTCAGCAGTATTGCAAGCCTCACTACGTTCGGCTCGCAAACCTACCGCTTCAGCACAAAAAAGTAAAGCTTCTACTCCTAATACAACAATATAATATTTTTTGCTTGAACAACATAAATTGCGTTTTTTCAATATTTATTTTTAACCTATTAGAAATTAACCACCTATAATACAGATTTAAATCCTCATTAATGATTTCTACCAGTTCCTGTTCATTATCCCCTACATATATTGGAGCCGTATCATCAGCGAACGTAAAATATTGTGCCCTTAATTTAGCAGATTTCAGGCTTAATACATATAAAGCATAGAATAGCGGTCCGAGTACCGACCCTTGAGGTACACCATAGTTGTTTATTAATAATTCGCTGCTAATACCGCCCAACGCCCAAGTTGACGTACTGCCTTCTATCCACCAAATAAGTATTTATAAGTTTCAAAAAAAGTGGCCCTAAGCCCAAATCTTGCAATTTTCTTAACAACAAATCATGACTAACGACGTCGAAAGCTTTTCTTAAATCAATAAAAACTACAACCACAAATTTCCCCCCATCCAATGCTTTTGAAATGGTGCTAATAAAATCCATAGTCGCAGCGAGAGTGCTACTATTTTTAATAAAGCCATATTGGTACTGATCAAGCAATGAATTTTCATCGATAAAAGACATTAATCTCCTTTTAATAACCTTTACCTGGACTTTCGATAAGGTATTTATAACGATAAGGTATTTATAACGGTAATCATCCTGCATATCCGAAATACTTCCTTCCTGAAGGGCTCGAGAGTAGAGCAGTAGAGCATAGAACGCATGTTTTGTCCTTGCCAACGTAATCGAAAAGTAAAAAACAATGATAAAGACAAAAAATTTGTTCTCTCGGGTAGCTCTTCTCCCTGAGACGGAACTCTTTAACAAATAGAGATATTTTCTCTATCTCTATTGACGTGGCGTCTCTATTAATTTCCGAAACAGAGAAGAAGACAGCAAGTGCCTTAGCGATAGGGTCGATAGGGATAATGATCTTTATCCGGTACAGAGTGCCAGCTCAGGGTACCTATTCTTGAAATCAAGGATTCTCGTGAGAACGATTTCCCTGTTTTTCGCAATTACATGCAAATGCTAATATCATTATGAGTAACACAGACAAAAAAGCTATTCTCATGGAAATGCTGCTCCCCTGTTTCAAGAATAAGGGCCCAGGAGAGAAGGTGCTCCGTGAATAAAATTTCTCCTCCTTACAAAAAAAAATAGGCGCGTAACATTTGGGTATGTTAAAGGTGAATTCCTGACAAAAATATGCAACTTTCACATTTTTAAACTATTTTGTTAGTCATTCTGATAACATCTGTATACTTTTTTCCAAAAAAAACTTTTATTTTTGAAAATAAAATGATTTGAAACACGAATTTTCAAACTGCTGCGAGAATGCCGGATAGGAAAGGGACGTTACTTTCTCAAACATGCGAGAATGCCGAAGTTCTCATTAGTAAACCATTCCAAAATATGGCTAATAAAAAACCTGGCTATACCTAGTAACATGATCCTAAAATATTTCATCATTTCTAATGTGGCAACATGCGCATGAATGCTTTAGTCAATGAGAGGCACGTGAAAACAGACTATTGTGCGCAGCTTTTTTTTTTTTTGGTCAACACTTTTTGTTAACAGAGCCCTCCTCAAACCAAAATCCTGGATACGCCAATGAATTTTCATAAATGTTTGATAAAATATTATTGCATATCGATATTGAAAACTGCCAGACACTTCCCGTCGGCCATAATTTCCGCCAGAGCTCCGTCTCTTCCGTAAACCCAAAACATCCCATTTAAAATTCTTTGCTGTCAGAAATGTACACTTTCACACTGTTTCGTCTTTGTTCGTTTCTATTTCGTCTTTGACCGTTCTCATTTGGCAGTAGGTTTGACTCCTCCTCGGATCGTTTCTATTACTTCTCGGACTTCCTGTCCAATATTCTGAAACAAAACCGGCGATTCTCTCCATATTTTGCTGTCTTCGTTTTCGTTCATGCGTTTTTCCTGTCTGTCTTTCCAGTCGTCTGCTTTTTTTTTCTTGCAGAATGTCTTGGAATCGGAAGACCCGACCCAGCATAACACGTTAATCCAATATTCATTTACTTCAAATCTACTTATTTTATTTTATTACCAGATAGGATCATAGGTACCTACCTGAAGAATGATTCTTTGTTATTTTATACATATACACGCTAACATATAGTCATACTACTTATTAATTAGAAACCTCATGCAGAACTAATACATACTGTTTCGCGGTTAAATTTAATTACGCTGTCATTACTATATTAAACATTCCAATAATTGATAAAATGTGTTTAGACGCGTAACGGTTTTTTTTCGCCTTCAAGAGTTTATTGATTTTGTGACCTCTCTCTGCATATATTTTGTGGTTGGTCGACTCAGCAAAAATCATTTTATATAAGTTAAAAAAAAAACCATAGGCGTACTAGATGTAAGGAAAATGCGATTTGAGGTTTGTCTGCAGAAATCACAAACCCAGTCGGAGCAAATTTCATTGGTTGAAAACCGTCAGAAACAGTCAGAAAATTAGTTTCAACCAATGAAATTCACTCTGACTGGTTTGCGATTTCTGCAGAAACAGACCTTATATGTAGGTACCTAACGTTTGAAATAATGTTCTGGATTAGCCAAAAATAAAATAATAAATTTGGAAGTAGGACATGGAAGCGCTATTACCACTGAAATAACCATAGAATCAAAAAGTTACTTGAGCTAAAAGAAAATCGTCGTAGGTACGATGTTATATTCAGAGATATTTTGAAAAATGAATCTCAGGTAATGTCAACAGACCTATGAAGTTCTTGAAGACCAAGCACTGCTTGGCAAGTAGTGAAGGATTCAGTATGAATCTTCAAAATAAATTCGAACAGGAACCCTAGTAGCACTTAGCAGCAAAATATAGAAATGATATTCAACAGTCGAACGTTACAAGTGCTAATCTGATGTGCTAACTTGATCAAATTATTAATTTATAGATAAAAGAGATCTTAGATCAGAACTAGTTATAGAACGGAAGCTGTTTAAGAATCCGGTAATAAATTGAAAACCAACAGATACTTGATACTTCTTCCTGTTAGCCAACAGTTAGGTGGTGTTGAAGATTTTTTTCTTTGATCAAGCAAGAAATTTCCTCTTGATTCGGCAGTATTGTTACGCCAATGTGTATTCCAATTTCGCGCCAATCAAAAGAGAACAAGCCGATGCGATTAGTGGAAACATTAAGTAGGTATATAAAATTATAAATAAATTAAAAAGAACCAAAGACTGGTGCGGTCGATACACTCCGGTACCTATACCTTTTACCAACCGGCGTGCTTTGGGCTCCGCTTTTGATTTGTTTTGTTGATCAGTCTCATTCAGAATTTTGTTTTGCTTGCAACTGTTGATTTGCGATTTTTAATTAACGGTGTGTGGTCGAACTCAATGTGAATGATACCGGTCATATTACTCATATTGCATAATTAGGAAAACGGGTGAGGAAAAATATGGCTTTTTAATTTTTAATTTGTTTATTTTGCGTAACATTTATTTGTATGAGTGTGCAAATTGAAGTTAAACACTATTGCTTGTTTAACGCACCTTTGAGTAAAAAGTTTGTAGAACTTTTTCTATTTTATTCTAAATAGCATAACATTAAGACACCTTAACATCTCAACAATTATGTACCTATAAAAAACTGAATTAAAAAATAAGTCGTTAAGTATATTATTATTAGAAGGCAGTAGGCATTAATCCTGAGAATATCCCAGGAATAATCTCGTGTTACAGAGAAAAAAACTTTTAGATAACTTTTGAGCCTTCAGCGTCCCAAGGTTTTCTAATATCCAAACTTCATAAAAAAAGTCTTGGGGTCAGAAATGTCAGGTTTACGTCCGTATATTCACCAAAACATTTGAAAAGTTATCTTTTATTTTTAAAAATCATTGAAGTCCGGTTAATATTAGGAAATTCGTAGAAAAGATTATTGAACTTTGATAATGTTGAATTTAAAATGACCCATTGACCGAATTTGGTAAATTATCATTTAAAAAAATATATCTTGTGGTGTGGGCATTGAGGAAATTCTTTTTCAGGGATAAGGAACAGTTTTTTGTCTCATTCATCATTATTGAATTTCAAGTTTAACGTATTTATAATGCTAAATTAGAAACTGCAATCTTCAAGTGGCATTTGTTAATTAAAATTTAAATCACAGAAATATTTTTATGTGTCTCCATTAAAATTTTATGGATGTAGGTAATATAGTATTTTTATTTATCTGGTAATACACGTTTTAATACCATGACCCAAATCATGTAGCATTTATAAATTTTGCAATATTTTCAGCAGCCCAATTAAAGTAGGTGATAAAAAAGTCTTTTCAAGGGCTATACCGATAATACGCATCTCTTCTATTTCAGTTACCTACCTATACTTAAGTATAAGCAAAATTCGTAGGCATAGTAATTATTTTATGTACGACCTATACTGTAAGAGCTTATTACGTAACTCATTTTAGCCTGTTTGAGTTACGTAATAAGTTGCATTATCGTGCTTAGTGATGTAATGAGCTCATTACATCACTCAGTGATGTAATGAGAGCTCATTACGTAACTCATTTTTATTGAATAACGGCACTTTTTAAAATTCATTTATCAAAAATTATAAATATAATCTTTTGTGAAAAATTAAAACCATTTCGAATATATGAAAAAAATCTGGGTCGTACATAAAATGTTGTATTTCACACGTACGGTAACGCTCATTACACCACTCGTGTGATTACCACGACTCGGTCTACGACCTCGTCTTGGCAATATTCCCCACTCGTTACTGTAATGAAGCTCATACCGCACTAGTAATATAAATAACTATTATTAGATATAATGTTCCAAAATCATTCAGCTAAAAATTGTTCCTGTTCAGATGAGAAAGAAACAGAAATTTAAATTATTTACTCGTGTATGTTGTAATACCTATGTGTCACCGTTGGACGATTTGCTCATTTGTGGTTTACAAAAGCAGATTAATTTGTATTGGAAAGTGGAATATAAATTACTTTAACTACTAATGGGTGTTCAGGTAAAGTCCGTGGCATGGTTCTTGAGCTACGATTACTGAATAGACAGAGGGGACAATGAGCTATTGCTGCGTTGTCATATCAATAATATTTATTAATACATGAAAATTGCAATAAAATTTCCTTCATTTTCATGTATTAATAAATATTATTGATATGACAACGCAGCAGTAGCCCATTGTCCCCTCTGTCTATTCAGAAGTCGTAACTCAAGAACCATGCAACGGACTTTATGTACTTATACGTGAGTTCCTAAATATAAAAAATCCGCACGTTATGTAAGATATCAAAATTATTCTATCATGTATACTCACTGTTTCCTGCCTTTCTGCATATGTTTTCAATTTCATTATTTTCAGATTTTTCACGTTTAAGTTCATCATGCCTAAAATTTATTTCCATAGGAGTAATATACTTAAGCTTTGCAGTTTTCCATTTCAAAAGATTTTTACACATTTTTGAGATATAAAGTATGTATAATATATATGCCTAAAAAATCTTTAATACCTACATCCTAAATCTTCCATTTTGAAATTCTGATCTAAATATTTTTGATTCCATGAACTTCACTCTCATTAGATTCAGCAATTATTAAATCATCAACATAAATTAAAATGAATATTTTTGAAAATTTATAGTAAATTTTAGGTTGCGTATTCATTTTGTGACCTTTCAAAATTATTTGACATCATCAAATCGTTAAATTTTCTGTACCAAGTTTTAGGCGAGGATCGTAAACCATATAAGTATTTTCTTAACCTAGCAAATTTACCTTCTTTTTCATTAAAGCCTTGTGGTAAAATAATCTGAACATCATCATCTATATCACCATTTAAGAAAGCACTGAAAACATCAAGTTGATGTACTTTGAAATTGAAATAATTGCAAATAGCTAAGAAAATTCTCACAGAGGGCAATTTTGCTACAGGACTATAAGTATCAGCATTATACAAATCAGTTTGCTGAGAACCTTTCGCTACCAATCTGGCCTTGTACTTCGTTACCTTACCTAATTTATCTTTCTTCTTTTTGTACATCCACTTACACTCAATGACAGCTCTTTTCACATCACTTTCACCCACTATCACCCATGTTTCATTTTCTTCCAACGCATGTAGGTACCTATCTTCCTCCATTGCCTCTCTCCACTTGATCGCCTGACTACTAGCTATAACATCCTCATAGCACATAGGCTCATCATTGTCATCATTCGCTGCCATCAAGGCTCTGCTTACGTACATTTAGTAGTCATCATATTTAGGGTTTCTTCTTATATTCCTTTTCAAGTTATATCTCTTATTCACCAGTTCTTCATTTAAATCTGAATCTATTTCATCATCTCCAGGTCATGAACACTCATCACTATGTAGGTATATCACTTTCATTCAATATGTCATTGTACATCTTCTGCCTAGGAGTCACAGTCTTTTTAAATATCTAATATCTCATTTACTTCTTCCAGTTCTAAAGAGTTCTCTGGTAGGAAAATATGGTCTATGAGTTTCAACTTTGTTCTTCTGAGAAATATACACCCTAAAGCCTTTTACATCGTCTCCATATTCAAGAAAAAAATTCTTGTTTATTTTTAGGGTCCCACTTCAATCTTTTTTCCTTGGGTGCATGTACTGATGATACTCTATTCCTAAAAATATTAAAGTTTTCTTATTTATATTTTCTTTTATGCCATAAGGAGTTTTTTAAATTTTTGTAGGGCCTGCACGGTTTAGAGTGTATGAGACAGTATTAATTGCTTCTGCCCAAAAGATTTTTCCCAAATTTTTATTGTTATTTATCACGGTTCTAGCAGCTTCTACCAATGTGCGATTTTCTCTCTTAGCCCTACCATTCTGTTGAGGTGTATATACCACTATACGTTGGGGGCATACACCTTTGTTTTAGGGAGAACAAACTATCGATAGGAATATCGATGCTATCGATATTTTTTTTATTTTCGATAGTATCGATAGTTCTGTAGCAATATCGATAGTTCCAAAGTAGCCAAAGGTGAATGAAGACGTCTGTAAATTGAGGGAAATATAAATAAATCTGTAGCTGTTTTGAGAAATCTGTAATTATTTTTTTGAGGTAGACATGCAAAATAGGTTCCTTCGTTTTTTTTTATAGGTTAGAGTAGAGCCTAGTTTACGTTGTATTTAGAGTTTTTGAGTCTTTTTTTCTCAAATAAAAAAATATGCCTTTATTTTTTGATTAATTTATACCAGTTATACCAGAGCAAACTATCGATAGTACAATCGATAGTTACTATCGATGGATAAGCCATTTTATCGATATCACTATCGATAGGTTTTTTTTCGATAGTTTGTCAACCCTACTTTGTTTTGCAAAATCTTTGTTATAGTCGTAATCACGATAGAAAGTGAAGTTGACAGTTCGCGTTGACATATCTAGTATTTTTTTTCTTTAGGTTGCCAGCATGCGTAAGCGTTTACATTCCTCCAGCTGGGATAAACGACAGGGTCGTATTTAGGAAAATGATATGCATTCCAGATTTATTTTTAATTTCTTTAAAGGAAGTCAAGTTATTAAAATCCTGCATAGTAATATTAAACATCTGTAATAGAACAAACGTAATATTTTCTAATAGTTGTTGCTGTAGCTGGCCGCCCAAGTACTCAGTTGATTTTTAAAGGTTTATTGATGCTAGTTATTTCCTTGGGTAGCTACAGAATTAAATGCTGAAGGGGGTTTACTTGCAAAAGAGAGAAACAACTGCAGTATCTCCACACATATTATACATATTCAATTTTAAATAAATGAACCCAAATTTTTCCAATAATAATATACAGTACTTAAATTTCTACTAAAATTTTCCATTAATAAAATTATACAGTACTAAAATTTCTACTCAAATTTTCCAGTAATAAAATTATACAGTACTAAAATTTCTACCCAAAAACTCTTCTCACGTGGCTTACATCAGGCTTTTCCATGAGGGCTCTTCTTGGATCATCCTTTCTAAAGGTAAATCCTAACGTGAGCAAAACCCTGCCTAAACTTGACTGGGAACCGTAATAAATTTCACTTTCTTTCAGCCTATCACTTACAGTCTTTAGGGTAACATATGCAATTCTAAAAACGAAAAATGCTTGTTTAAATATTGTAGTACTGTAGCAACAGCAAATTTTACTGATTTTAGTTAGTATATCTTGTTCAATTAGCTTTGAGACTTTCGTCAATAATGACACCGAGTGTATTCTTATGGAATTTGCTGGTGACACCATTATAACGTAACTCTTAAAGGTAATTGAACAAAGTAACTTAGTATTACTTTTTAACACCAGTCCCTATAACAAAAAGACTATACTACCCAAAAATGAACTAAAATTACCCAGTCTAGTTTGTGTTAGTGAAATGGCTTAAACTTATAATTGAAGAAGAGAGGAGTATGCATTC